GCCTTGTGTTCCAGGGGCAGCGAACGTCTAAGTTGAGTGTATGTTGAAAGAATGCTCGGAGCGGCAAACACTGACCTTCAACCAACTTGTTTGGTGCTTTGCCCTTCTCTGAAATGGGGACTGTGAATGCATCATTCAAAAGTTAGTTGTAAACGCTTTCGGGTTGCGCGCCTCGGCCAGAATGCTTTTGGCATGTTGACATCGGATTAGTAAGCCCCCCCTCCCTGGAGAAGGCCGAGAAGGTTTTGTGGCAGAAAGCGTAAGTAAGCCTGGAGGTCTACTTTAGTATTGGGCAATACAACTTTTGAATTGGGCAATACAATTTTTGAACTGGGCAATACTAGTCTTGAATTGCGACTGAGGATCCCAGAACTCCAGATGAATCCCAAAAGGAGCTTCGGTCCTTGTTTCCATTTGATTTAGTTTTGTTTGGAATTTGATTTGAGCTTCCACATATCTGATTTAGTATTGTTGGATTCGAGGTTCCATTTGATTTGTATTTGTGGAATTGAAATTCCTTTGGATTCAGTATTGCTCGACCTTCCTTTTGAATTTGAGTGTCCAGTTGTGGGATTTCACTTTCCAATTGGTTACTATTGCCCAGGCCACGTTAACAATGTCAGTTCACATGTTATTAATGCGGGCCATTTTGGCCGCACCCAATCTTGAGCTCCAGCAATACTAAATCAAGCCCCATTATACTAAACTAACTAGATACTAAAATCAACATCAAAAGGAAGTTCCAGCAAGAAAGTGAAATCACACAATACTAAACTAACTGGACAAATACACAAGACAGAGCCCACGAACCCGAATGCACATCACTTTGCGCAAACCCAAGAAAATAATTAGAGAGAACATTTTTCGGTACAAGCCAATGGGGCTCGCAATCAAGCCTACTGCGCAAACTGTGTTTTTCAGCTTGTAAAACTGTACTTTGCGTGCTCCACTTGTTGCTACAAAAGCTACGATTTTCAATCTGGAGCTGGACACCTGCGCTTCGCGCGCTAGACTTGTACTAAAGGCTGCGATTTTCCAACCGGAGCTGGTACTTCTCGCACTAGACTTGCGCTACACAGCTGCGAAGCTGAAAGCCTGTACTTTGCGTACTAGACTTGTGCTACAAAGTTGACGATTTTCAAGCTGGAGCTCAAAACCTGTACTTCGCGTACCATACTTGCACTTCCAAGTTGCGATCTTCCAGCCAGAGCTGGAAGCTTGTACTTCACGTACTGTACTTGCGCTACAAAGTTGTGACTTTCCAGCTAGTGCTGGAAACCTGCACACTTCGCGCACTAGACTTGTTGCGATTCTCCAGCTGGAGCTGGTACTACAAAGTTGCGATTTTCCAGCTAGAGCTGGAAACCTGTACTTCGCGCACTAGACTTGCACTACAAAGTTGCGATTTTCCAGCTAGAGCTAGAAACCTGTACTTCGCGTACTAGACTTGTACAACAAAGTCACGATTTTCCACCTGGAGCTGGAAGCCCGTACGTCGCGTACTAGACTTGTCAAAGTTGCGATTTTCCAGCTAGAGCTAAACCTGTACTTCGCGCACTAGACTTGTACAACAAAGTCGCGATTTTCCACCTGGAGCTGGAAGCCCGTACTTCGCGTACTGGACTTGTCAAAGTTACGATTTTCCAGCTAGAGCTGGAAACCTGTACTTTGCGTACTAGACTTGTGCTACAGAGTCGCAACTTACAGCGGGAGCTGGAAACCTGTACTTCGCGTACTAGACTTGTACTACAAAGTCGCAATTTTCCAGCTAGAGCTCGAAACCTGTACTTCGCTCACTAGACTTGCACTACAAAGTTGCGATTTTCCAGCTAGAGCTAGAAACCTGTACTTCGCGTACTAGACTTGTACAACAAAGTCGCGATTTTCCACCTGGAGCTGGAAGCCCGCACTTCGCGTACTAGACTTGTCAAAGTTACGATTTTCCAGCTAGAGCTGGAAACCTGTACTTCGCGCGCTAGGCTTGTACTACAAGGTTGTGATTTCCAGCTAGAGCTGGACTTCGCGTACCTGTGCTTCGCGTACTAGACTTGTACTACAAAGTCGCGATTTTCCAGCTGGAGCTGGAAGCCTGTACTTCGCACGTTAGACTGGTACCACAAAGTTGCGATTTTCGAGCTGGAGCTGGAAACCTGTACTTCGTGCACTACTAGACTTTACTTCGCGCGCTACACTTGCGCTACAAAGTTGCGATGTTCCAGCTAGAGCTCGAAACCTGTACTTCGCGCACTAGACTTGCACTACAAAGTTGCGATTTTCCAGCGCGTACTAAACTTCTGAGCGACACGTCTGAGCACAACTTCTGATTGACACTTCTGAGCGACACTTTTGAGCGACACCTGATCAACACTTCTGAGCCACACTTTTGCTGATCAACACTTCTGAGCAACACTTCTGAGCGACACTTTTTCTGATCGACTTTTCTTAACAACACTTCTGATTGACACTTCTGAGCGACACTTTTGAGCGACACCTGACCAACACTTCTGAGCGACACTTTTTCTGATCGACTTTTCTGAGCGACACTTCTGATTGACACTGCTGAGCGACACTGTTGAGCGACACCTGATCAATCACTTCTGAACCACACTTTTTCTGATCGACACTTCTGAGCAACACTTTTGATCCGCACTTCTGGTTGACGCTTCTGATCGACAGTTTGAGCAACACTGCTGAACCACACTGATTGACACTGATGAGCAACACTTCTGATCCACACTTCTCATCGACAGTTCTGAGCAACACGTCTGATCTACACTTCTGATCTGATCAACAGTTCTAGTTCCGAGCAACACCTCTGATCCACACTTCTCATCGACAGTTCTGAGCAACACGTCTGATCCACACTTCTGATCTGATCAACAGTTCTAGTTCTGAGCAACGCTTCTGATCCACACTTCCCCCAACATTTCTAAGGGACACTTCTGATCGACGCTTCTGATCGACACTTCTGAGTGAGCAACACTTCTGACCCACACTTCTGATTGACACTTCTGAGCGACACTTTTGAGCGACACCTGATCAACACTCCTGAACTACACTTTTTCTGATCAGCACTTCTGAGCGACACTTTTTCTGATCGACTTTTCTGAGCAACACTTCTGATCGACGCTTCTGATCGACACTTCTGAGCAACACGTCTGATCCACACTTCTGATCTGATCAACAGTTCTAGTTCTGAGCAACGCTTCTGATCCACACTTCTCCCAACATTTCTAGTGGACACGTCTGAGCAACATTTCTGATCGACACTTCTGAGTGAGCAAGACTTCTGACCCACACTTCTGATTGACACTTCTGAGCGACACTTTTGAGCGACACCTGATAAACACTTCTGAACTACACTTTTTCTGATCAACACTTCTGAGCGACACTTTTTCTGATGGACGTTTCTGAGCAACACTTCTGATCGACGCTTCTGATCGACACTTCTGAGCAACACTTTTGATCCGCACTTCTGATTGACACTTCTGGTCGACAGTTTGAGCAACACTGCTGAACCACACTGATTGACACTGATGAGCAACACTTCTGATCCACACTTCTCATCGACAGTTCTGAGCAACACTTTTGATCCGCACTTCTGCAGAGGTTGACGCTTCTGATCGACCGTTTGAGCAACACTGCTGAACCACACTGATTGACACTGATGAGCAACACTTCTGATCCACACTTCTCATCGACGGTTCTGAGCAACACGTCTGATCCACACTTCTGATCTGATCAACAGTTCTAGTTCCGAGCAACACCTCTGATCCACACTTCTCATCGACAGTTCTGAGCAACACGTCTGATCCACACTTCTGATCTGATCAACAGTTCTAGTTCTGAGCAACGCTTCTGATCCACACTTCTCCCAACATTTCTAAGGGACACGTCTGAGCAACATTTCTGATCGACACTTCTGAGTGAGCAACACTTTTGAGCGACACCTGATCAACACTCCTGAACTACACTTTTTCTGATCAACACTTCTGAGCGACACTTTTTCTGAGCAACACGTCTGATCGACGCTTCTGATCGACACTTCTGAGCAACACTTTTGATCCGCACTTCTGATTGACACTTCTGGTCGACAGTTTGAGCAACACTGCTGAACCACACTGATTGACACTGATGAGCAACACTTCTGATCCACACTTCTCATCGACAGTTCTGAGCAACACGTCTGATCCACACTTCTGATCTGATCAACAGTTCTAGTTCCGAGCGACACCTCTGATCCACACTTCTCATCGACAGTTCTGAGCAACACGTCTGATCCACACTTCTGATCTGATCAACAGTTCTAGTTCTGAGCAACGCTTCTGATCCACACTTCTCCCAACATTTCTAAGGGACACGTCTGAGCAACATTTCTGATCAACACTTCTGAGTGAGCAACACTTCTGACCCACACTTCTGATTGACACTTCTGAGCGACACTTTTGAGCGACACCTGATCAACACTTCTGAACTACACTTTTTCTGATCAACACTTCTGAGCGACACTTTTTCTGATGGACGTTTCTGAGCAACACTTCTGATCGACGCTTCTGATCGACACTTCTGAGCAACACTTTTGATCCGCACTTCTGATTGACACTTCTGGTCGACAGTTTGAGCAACACTGCTGAACCACACTGATTGACACTGATGAGCAACACTTCTGATCCACACTTCTCATCGACAGTTCTGAGCAACACGTCTGATCCACACTTCTGATCTGATCAACAGTTCTAGTTCTGAGCAACACTTCTGATCCACTCTTCTGACAACATTTCTGAGGGACACGTCTGAGCAACACTTCTCAGCAACACTTCTGTTCGACACTTCTGATCGACACTTCTGAGCAACACTTCTGACCGACACTTCCGAGCACACTTCTGTCGACACTTCCGATGAGCGACACTTTTGATTGACACTTTCGAACGACACGACACTTCTAAGGGACACTTGTGATCGGCGCTGCTAAACGAAACTTCTGTCTCCAAATGCGCACCGCGCCACAGCGAGAGCGATTCGACCCCAAAGCGCGCAGGGGGTTCACTTTGCGCGCTCAAAATGTGCACCGCGCCACAGCGAGAGCGATTCGACCCACCCGATGCGCACAGGGGGTTCACTTTGTGCGCTCAAAATGTGCACCGCGCCACAGCGAGAGCGATTCGACCCACCCAATGTGCGCAGAGGGTTCGCTTCGCATGCTCAAAATGCGCACTGCGCCACAGCGAGAGCGATTTGACCCACCCAAAGCGCGCAGAGGGTTCGTTTCGCATGCTCAAAATGTGCACCGCGCCACAGCGAGATCGATCTCGCTGAGTCAAAGTGACGTGCTTGCCACGAAATCTACACCCAGGCGCACTCAACAAGGGAAACAGGAAGTTCCAGCAATAGTAAAGTAAATCCATTAGAAAGGGAAATTTCACAATAGTACTTAGCAACTCGAGACTCAAATCAAATTCAAAAGGATGCTCCAGCACTAAATCAAATGGAAAGTGAAATTCAAAAATACTGCATGAACTGGACACTCAAATCAAAATCAAAAGGAAGCTCCAGCAATACTAAATCAAACGGAAACTCCAATCCAACTAGACACTCAAATGGAATTCAATGAGAGATGATCCAGCAATTCTAAATCAAATGGACAGTAAAATCCAGATACTAAATCAACTGGACAGTCAATGCAAATTCAAAAGGAAGTGCCAGCACTCATGTGGGGCACCTCGTGTGACCTTCTTAAACCATAACTTGTTGATGAAGAACTTGCACTTTGAGCAAACCAAAAAAATTCGATTTCCTGGCTGCTGTTTGTGTTTGTCCTGGCTTGGGGCTGCGCTAGTAGACAAGTGCTAGTAAGCACAAAGCAGATGTGGATGTTTGTTGCAGGCCTGGGGGGCCAAATTAATAGCACGTATGTGGGGTACTTCATGTGACCGTCTTAGGCCATCACTTTTTGAAAGGGATTTGACAAAGAAATTGCACTTTCAAAGCCAAACTTTCTTGGATTTCAGGGAGTTCTGGCTGATGTTGTGTTGGCTTGGCAGTGCTTCATGGCTGTGCCAGTGCCAAGCTGGCACTGGCAGCTTTTCTTGGCACTACAAAGCAAATGGAAAGCAAACGTCGCAAGGTTTAGGTGCAGCAGCGTGGAAAAATGTGGCCAGCTGAATCACCAGATTTTTTTTAGGGATTTGAATTGTTTGTTTGGGGTGGGTCTTGCGTTTTTTGTGGGAGTCCGGTTTAATTTCATAGGGTTTTGTCGTGTTTTGGTTGTTTAGGTGAATTCCAGGTTTTTCAAATTGTATAGTATTGGGAGGTCCTGGGCCGGCCGGGTTAATTATTCCGATGTTGACATTCCAGTGTTTTGGTTTGCCTTGCGTGCTTGTCTGAGTGAGTGAGTCGGCGGTCAATTGCGCGAGCTGGTTTGCAAGATAGAGGGTGGGTGCATGCGTCGCGTTTTTTACGTTGCTTGAAGGGCTCGACAGAACGAGAGCCTTGGGCTGGATTTTCGGCGGGAAAAAAGAGAGCCCCAGGGACTTGTTTGAGGGCGGGCTGTAGAAGATCCCGATGAGGCTGAAGGCGTCTGACCGCTTCCCTCGGGCCGAGGTGAATTGACACGCTCCATTTCGCAATGGACACACTTTCTTGGGCGTAGTTTGTAAAGCATTCCGGCCAGTTTGTTGTTCGCGCTTCCGCGCCCACTTTCTTTGTCTTGGAGTAAGCCTAGCTTTCCTCGTGCTGTTGGACCCAGGCCGAGGGCAACTAAGGCTGTGCATTAGGCAAGTCAAAAACAAGGCGGTTTGCTCAACCAAGGTGACACAAGAGGTGAGATACCTGCGGCATGCGCGATAATTTGCTGGCAAGACTACGGAGTTTACAAGCCCACTCACGAGCCAAAATCCAACGCGTAATGTTGCAGGTGGGCTGGTGGACGCAAACCTGTGAAGGTACCAGCAGTATCACCTGCAGTTTTTTCTTGCTAGGGTTTCATGTGGAGTTCAAACGATGACTAGAATTGAATGTGGGGTGTGAACCCGCGCCCTGTATCTTGTTTGGTTGCTGTTGCAGCCTCTCATGATCCATTACAATCCGGCACGAAACGAACCATTTAGGACCTTGAATTCGGACCTTCGTGCCCTGACACGATGCCATAAGGGGAGGAAGTAAATTCATGGGACTCGGCTTCAGAGATTCAACTTCCATGGCTGCCAATTTGCCGTCATTGCTTGGAGGCCTTGTGACTGCAACGGGCTCCAGTTTCAAAAGCTGTCAAGGGGCCATAGATGAACGGGAAACAGCACCTCATGGGCGCGGACACGTCTCCAGGAACGCTTGCCTGCAGAGGCGTCGGCGCCATCGCACACATAAAAACACAAACAACAACACGTCCAACCTGTTGAGCTCTACCCAACCATTGCCTGCTGCCACAGGCGTTAAACGAGGCAAGATGGAACACGAGGCCCACCCATGTGTTCAGCCTCTTGGAGCCACCAAAGGTTCCACCTTTGTATGACGTAAGGGCAACAGTGAGCGCTCGTTTGCTGCCCTCGGTATATTGACATCAAAAGTGAGTCAGCTTGAACAGGCCACCTCGCGCGCGCACACTCGTTCTGAATGTTTGTCATTTGCTGGACTATAATACTGCGTCAGACCTTCTCTTCCGCCAAGCAATCGCTCGAGCATAGCCGGCCAGCCACTGCCTGGTTGGTTGGGCTACGTTGTTTGGAGCCGGCCATTCAGGGTGCCGCTGCGGAGTGGAGACCAGACCGGCCTGGGTTCCTCACGATTTACTTTGTCTCCAATGTCCGCCCTGCTTTGTTGGTTGACGCAAGTTACAAGCCTGGCGCCACGCGGAACACATCTGATCATTTGCTCCTGGGAACACTCAAGAACGCTGTTTCTGACCATGAAAACCTTGTCTTCAGCGTTGCTTGAATGGCCACAGCTGGCCAAGCTTGTCAAAAAAAAGCAAGCAGATGTGCGCAAAGAACAACCTCACACTATCTCAGACTGTAGTGCCAAAAATAATTTTCGAGGCCCGCATTTGTTTTGCCCCCCCCGCATTTGTCTGGCTCCTCTATTGTCCGTGCCCTCCAGCCTGACCTGGTGCATTCTTGTAGTTCAAGACGCGAACCGCGAGGGTTGTCACGCTCTTGTCCTGAACGTTTTTCAGTGTCTGGCCATTGTTTGTTCAGAAGATGTTTACCCAATAATACGGTACGATTTGTTTTCCTCAGCAAGTACGGGATCGGCATGCGTTCTGAAGCTTCGCTACGAGTTCTTCCAAGCGTTGTCTTACTCGCTGAATATCGGAAATGTGGGGCTCTGTGTTCGGTGTTTGATTTCTTGGTGCTGTCTGCTGTATATCATGAACGCATTCACTCTAGAGCGTTGCTCGCATGCTGGATCTCCAGCTTTTCGCAGTAGTTTCAATGACAATACTCCAACATCAGACTCTTTGCTTAGATCCTCAGGTTGTTCTTCTCGATCCATTTTCCCTGTTAGGCAGGCTCTGAAACCTGGGCTTGGCTCATTTCTCTTCCAGGTTCTGATGCTGACGCATTCTCTCCAAATCAAGGGTCTTGTGCGCGTTGGTGTGTGTGTGTTGCAAGTTCCAGAGCGACGGGTAGGCGGCCGTTTATGAGCTTGAACTGTCACGTGACATGCTGAGCATTGTTGGTATGCAAGACATGGGTTGTGGGGCCGTTCGTGGGTGGCAGTTCCGTGCAAGCTGTGGGTAGCAGTTTTTTTCGCCAGCTGTTTGCAACATAACGCGCAAGCTGTTTCTGGCTGAGGGAGGACAAGGCCCGCTTGTCCGGCAGCGGAGTTGGCAGCTCATACTGCGGCGCGGCTGCGAATAGACCCGTTGTGCTATTCGGTAAAAGCGTATCTCAAAATTCCAAGACGAACGGGCGGATGCGTAGGCGGCGTAGGCAGGTATCTAGTGAACTCGGCCTGGCGTAGGCGTTTTTGTTGGTGTGTGCTTTTTCTTGTCGACGTGGCGCAGGCCCACGTAAGAAAGTAGAAAATGATAATGACCAGCACAACCAAAAAACACTGCCCATTTGAAGCAACTTGTTTGGAGCACCACGCTGCTTCCAAAAAATAGCTGAAACAACGCAACGCATGTCGATACAAGCTCCAAATAGTTCCAACTCAGCAGTCGACCAAGGCTTGGCAGGCATCCTTTGAAGAATCTGCTGGACGAGGCCTTGGAATGACGCTTTCGTGTGATTGATTTCAGATCTGATGTTCACAATTGGGAGATGGGCGAATGGGAGTGTTTGTTGACATCTATCTTTTCGGTGCGAGGGGAGCTTTGGTGCAAGCTCGGGCCTTACCGCAATACTTTGCACGTGTGTTGTCATGGTATTCATTGCCCAGGACTCATCGTTCCCCTGTGGCAAGCGTAGACTCAGAGGAGGACAAGTCAGCGTTGCAGACTCGATGCCTTACCATGTGCTTTCCCTCACATCATCACACAGTCATCAGTCATCATCATCCTCATCCGTGGCATCATCAGCCTCAGTGTCATCATCGCAACACAAACACACACATGACTGGATGAATCACAAACACGAGACGGCAGCAGGAGATTGATCGTTTCCTTTGCGGCCTTCAGATGGCGCAATCCTTTGTGTGCCGCGCGTGTGCGGTTTTCGGGGCAAATGGCGCAACAATTGGCTGCCTCGTTCTTACTTGCTGTGACCTCAGGAAGCTGCGTCATTCGAGGCCCTTTCAGGCAGGTTTCTGCCCTTGCCGGCTTCGCCAAAACTTCTGGTCAGATTTCCTGACCTGCTTGTTTGGCTGGTCGGTCTGACCTGGCTTGCATGGCATTATGTCCAACATGCAGTTTGCCATTCATGCTGTTTTTTGGGTTTTGCTTGGGTCTGCGACGCCGTTGACCCGAGATATTTTGTGGGCCTGCGGCCGGCTACGCCTCTTTGAAGTCATGCCATTTAATGTCATGTTTTTGTGTGAGAAACGTATCCTGATATGGCTGGTTGGGACATTCTGACAAGGGGTCGCGCGCGCGCGCCAGAGGCCCCAGAAAGAGCAGCCCAAAAAAGCAAGCCAGCCCGGAACCGCAAAAGCAACAAAACACCGTAAAAAAGCAGCGTTTTGTGGCTGGGGTTGCGCGCGCGCGCCAGAAAACCCGAAAACCAACGGGAAAAAAAAAGGACCGCGCAGCGCGCGAGCCAGCCACGGCAAAAGCAAAACGGACAGCGCAACAGCCCAACGCTCCGCACAGCAGTTTTTGACGGTATTTACTGCGTTTGTGGAGCGAGGGCCCAGCATCGCCGGCATGCCCGGTAGCGCTTGGCGCCAAAATGCGCCAAACTGAGCCTCGATTATATCCCTCCGACACCTTCTTAAAAACAGTGCTTCATGGGTTGAGAGGCTTTTTGGAAGGAAGTTTGATGATGCAGACCAAGCCCCGCTGAAGCATCACCCAGGCCCAACCCCAGACCCGGATGATGTCAGCCACATGGCCTAAACCCTGCATATACGTTTGCAAGGCCGCAAGAAGGGCAATTTGCCTGCTAGGTTCAGCGGCACCTGTGCGCCGCCGACTCGCGTCACTTGGTCTTGATGCGTTGCCTAAATCCAGCACCTCTGCGTCACAAGCTTGGGCTTGCGGTTTTGCTTGCCTGTGCCTCGCAAAACATCGCGTCTGTGCAGGGTTTAGTAATTTAGGCCGGCTGACATCATCAGGGTCTGGGGTTGGTGGCTTCAGCGGGGCTTATAATCGAGGCTCATTTTGGCGCATCTTGGCGCCAAGCGCTGCCGGGCATGCTGGGTCCTCGCTCTACAAAACGCTGTAAATACCGTCAAAAACTGCTGTGCGGGGCGTTGGGCTGTTGTTCTGTCCGTTTTGCTTTTGCTGTGGCTGGCTCGCGCGCTGCGCGGTCCTTGCTTTTCCCGTTGGTTTTCGGGTCTTGTGGCGCGCCGCGCGCGGCCCCAACCACAAAACGCTGCTATTTACGGTGTTTTGTTCTATTTGCGGTTCCGGGCTGGCTTGCGGGCTGTTCCTTTTGGGCTGCTGTTTCTGGGGCCTCTGGCGCGCGCGCACGCGACCCCATGTCAGCCTTCTGGTTTGGAGCCTGGCTGGGGCCCAGAAAGCTGGCGTCCCCGGCATCATCTGAGGTTGGGGTGGGCAACATGCGTCGCCTAACGTTTCTCATACAAAAAACATGACATGACATGGTGTAACCTTAAAGAGGCCGCAGGCCCAGAAAATTGCCTAGCGGCGACATGCTACCCCAGAAGGCGTAGCCGGATATACACGCTGACGCGACACAGACGGCCACCGGGCACCTTGCCCTTTTCGTTCTATCATTTCCTTTTCCTTTCATGTCCGTTGATTCCCGGGATTTGAACTTCGCTTCCTTCGCATGTCTTCCCTGCATGTCCGACAGTTTGCTGGCATTTCCCTTCACTTCCCGTCGCTTGTCCGTGGCAGCTCGCCTCATTTCCTTGAACGCCCCTTCATTTGCATTCCTTTCCCTTGGTTCTTTTTTAGCTCCCGTGACTTCAGCCTCGCCACCCATTTCACGTCAGTTTCCTGCACATCCCTTCCTTTCTCTTCAGTTTCTCTTCGTTTCCCATGATTTCCAACAATTCTGTTCGTTCCCGTCCTCCGGTTCCCTTCCCTTGCATTTTCCTGCATTTTTTGTTTCTCTCCAGCGCCCTCTTCATGTTCATGCAATTCGTTTCACTTTCATTTCGTTCACTTCCAGTCACTCAGCCCCCTTGGTTCGCATCGCCAGCATGCGTAGCATCATTTGTATCATCCGTGATGATGCTGGCAATGCTGGGGGTGTTGTCCAGTATAAGGAACCCCCCCCCCAAAAAAAAGAAAGAAGAAACTAGAACAACGGATGGCCCGAAAGCAGAATGGAAAGTGACCAAAGACAAGCAAAGCGCGCCGACATGCAGCGGTGCCAGTGGAGTGGTTGCTCAAGAGTTGGTGTTGCGTGCGCGCGCGTGTGCGTGCGTGTGTGGGTGTGTGTGCGTGTGGGTGCGCGTGCGTGGGTGTATGTGTGTGTGTGTGTGCGTGTGTGTGTGTGTGTATGTGTGTGTGCGTGTGCGTGTGCGTGTGCGTGTGCGTGTGCGTGCGCGTGTGCGTGTGCGTGGGCGTGGGCGTGCGCGTGCGCGTGTGCGTGTGCGTTTGCGTGTGCGAGTGCGTGCGCGTGCGCGTGCGCGTGTGCGTGCACGTGTGCGTGCACGTGTGCGTGCACGTGTGCGTGTGCGTGTGCGTGTGCGCGTGTGTGCGTGTGTGCGTGTGTGCGTGTGTGCGTGTGTGCGTGTGTGCGTGTGTGCGTGTGTGCGTGTGTGCGTGTGTGCGTGTGTGCGTGTGTGCGTGTGTGCGTGTGTGCGTGTGTGCGTGTGTGTGTGCGTGTGTGCGTGTGTGCGTGTGTGCGTGTGTGCGTGTGTGCGTGTGTGCGTGTGTGCGTGTGTGGAGTGCGTGTGTGTGTGTGTGTGTGTGTGTGTGTGTGTGTGTGTGTGTGTGTGTGTGTGTGTGTGTGTGTGTGTCTGTGTGTCTGTGTGTCTGTGTGTCTGTGTGTCTGTGTGTCTGTGTGTCTGTGTGTCTGTGTGTCTGTGTGTCTGTGTGTCTGTGTGTCTGTGTGTCTGTGTGTCTGTGTGTCTGTGTGTCTGTGTGTCTGTGTGTCTGTGTGTCTGTGTGTCTGTGTGTCTGTGTGTCTGTGTGGTCTGTGTGTCTGTGTGTCTGTGTGTCTGTGTGTCTGTGTGTCTGTGTGTCTGTGTGTCTGTGTGTCTGTGTGTCTGTGTGTCTGTGTGTCTGTGTGTCTGTGTGTCTGTGTGTCTGTGTGTCTGTGTGTCTGTGTGTCTGTGTGTCTGTGTGTCTGTGTGTCTGTGTGTCTGTGTGTCTGTGTGTCTGTGTGTCTGTGTGTCTGTGTGTCTGTGTGTCTGTGTGTCTGTGCGTCTGTGCGTCTGTGCGTCTGTGCGTGTGTGCGTGTGTGCGTCTGTGCGTGTGTGCGTGTGTGCGTGTGTGCGTGTGTGCGTGTGCGTGTGTGCGTGTGTGCGTGTGTGCGTGTTGTGCGTGTGTGCGTGCGTGCGTGTGCGTGCACGTGCGTGTGTGCGTGTGCACGTGTGTGCGTGTGTGCGTGCGTGCGTGTGCGTGCACGTGTGTGCACGTGTGTGCACGTGTGTGCACGTGTGTGCACGTGTCGTGCACGTGTGTGCGCGTGTGTGCGTGCGTGCGCGTGCGGGTGTGTGTGTGTGTGGATGTGCGTGGGTGTGTGTGTGTGTGCGTGCGTGTCTGTGTGTGTGTGTAGGTGCAGGTGTGTAGGTGTGTGTGTGTGCGCTGCAGGTCAAAGCAAATAATGCCGACGTGTGTGTGTCTGTGTCACAATTGCGCACGTGCGTGCGCGTGTGCTACCGCGGATATCTGCAAAGCTTGCCCCTGTGACTGATAGGCTTCGGTGTTGCGAGCTCTATACAAGTGTTGCTCTGCGCAAGTGCTCGGCCCAAGTGTTCAGCGCAAGTTGCTCTGCAGGCGCAAGTGCTCTAAGCAAGTTGCGATGCGCAAGCGCGACGCAAAAGTATGCTGCGCAAGCTCGGGACAAGTTTCTATGAGCAATGTTCTCCGAGCAAGTTCTCTGCGTGCAGCGCTGACCGCAACATGGCAACCTTTCGATTTGAGCCGGAGCTACGAATGCACCCTGTGTGAGCCACTTTCGCACTGCTGACTTTCTAACTTAAAGGCCGCGGAGACCAAGCAGGATTCGAGCCCGGGGCCGGTCGCTGCCAAGAGCAGGCGTGCAACCACGAGACAAACTCTCAAGCCCGCGTTCCGACTTGAAAAAGTAGCATTTTACTAGCATGTCGTCGTAAAAGTCCGCAGTTCTTGCGCATCGACCGCGCCAATCCCCGCAGAGGGTCGCGATCGACCACGCAGAGGAAATCGTAAAAAGTCCCCAGTTTTTGGACAACGACCACGCCAATCCCCGCAGAGGGTGTCATTTTCGCAGGGTGGATTCGGTCCCACCGCACCGCCTTAAGAGACTAACTAATTACTTTCGTGTCCAAATGTCTCGTGCAAGTTTGGCTGTGTGATATCTCGTGCAAGTTGCTCTCGTGCAAGTTGGCTCGTGCAAGTTGACTCACGCAAGTTGGCTCGGGCAAGTTGGCTCGTGCAAGGTGGCTCGTGCAAGTTGGCTCGCGCAAGTTGGCTCGCGCAAGTTGGCTCGTGTAAGTTGGCTGTGCAAGTTGGCTCGAGCAAGTTGGCTCGTGCAAGTTGGCTCGTGTAAGTTGGCTGTGCAAGTTGGCTCGTGTAAGTTGGCTCGTGTAAGTGTGGCTGTGCGATAAGGCTGGTGCAAGTTGGCTCGTGCAAGTTTAGCTGTGTGATAAGGCTGGCGATTTTGCCGGAAGAACCCTTCGCAATGCTTTCGGGAAAAACACTCGTTTTTGGACTCGTTTTTGGACGCTGTGGGGAGATGCTACAAAAATCCTCGAAAATCGCTCAAACCAATCCGCAAATACGTATGCTCATGTTCGGCTCATGGTCGGCTCATGTTCTGCGCATGGTCGACGACATGGGGCGGACGGCCTTATACCTGAAGGTAGCCCTCCGGGCTAGGCCTGCGGCCCGATCACGGCCCCGCTGGCCGGATTACGTTGCTTGCGCGCAACCGGCCGCGGTAAAGAGAATTTAAGGCTTCAAGGGTTTAAGGTTGTAATTCAATTTTTTGAAGATGTTAACATTTCAAGATCTTACGG